CACATTCCCATCTCTGTTTCCTGGCAGACTCATTCCATGGATTTTGACGACACCTGGCACCCTGCCACCCACCCCTCTGGGGCTGTCCTGCCGGCTCTCCTGGCAGCTTCCCAGATGCTCCCTCCAAACACCAAACCCAACGGCCTGGATTTCCTGCTGGCCTTCAACGTGGGCCTGGAAGTGCAAGGGAGGCTCATGCACTTCTCCACTGAGGCTCACGACATTCCCAAAAGGTAAAGCTCCTGTTCTTTGCTGAGGATGAAGAGGGTTGGTGAGTCTGGGTTTTAAAATGCTCATTTAGGTTAAGCCAAGTTTAAGTCCAGTTTAATTTAGCTTTACCCAAGGGTAAAGCTTTACTGAGAGCCAAATGCCAGAGATGATTGCACCATGCACTTATTTGGTGATTTCCAGATATTTTGCCTCAAAAATAACCCTCAGCAGGACTCCCAGGGAGTCTGCAGTGCCATCTCCTGACCCAGACAGGGCAGGATCACAGAACCAAACAGAGCTTGGTGGTGGGTGCAGCCCCTGGGCCAACTGCTGCCACCAGCAGTGCCCTGGTGTGATCCAAACAATGGAATCTTCCAGGAACTGTTCCCTTGGGTGTGTTTGAGGCTGAGTTATTTGTCTGAGGGGTAGAAAGTTTGGTTGTGTGGACACAGACCATGGCACCTCCTGGAGAAAGTTCAAATTGCTTTTTGGAGATGCTAGTTCACCCTGGTGTTTCTGAGGTTTCAAGGAGGTTTCAAGGATAAACTCAGTTTTTAGACTAAATTTATGTTAATTAACTCTAAATTTAGAGTTAAACTAATATGCAGTGAAACTCTGATTTAAAGTTAAATTATTAATTAAAATGCAAGGATAAACTCAGTTTTTAGACTAAATTTATGTTAATTAACTCTAAATTTAGAGTTAAACTAATATGCAGTGAAACTCTGATTTAAAATTAAATTATTAATTAAAATTTAACCATAAATTATTAAAATTTAACCATAAATTATTAAAATTTATGGTTAAATTCTGAGCCAGGTGAATCCCACCCGCACGAAAACCATGAGGGAGTTCTACTGGCTGATGGGCCCCTCACTTGCCATGAATTTTTCTGTGGGAGGGGTCCTTTGGTGCTCCCTGTGCCAGGCAGCCAGGGCTGCCCATTCCTGCCGTCCCCCTGCAGGTTCCACCCTCCCTCGGTGGTGGGCACGCTGGGCAGTGCCGCGGCCACGGCCAAGCTGCTGTCCCTCAGCTCAGCCCAGTGCTGCCACGCCCTGGGCATCGCCGCCTCCCTGGCCGGGGCGCCCATGGCCAACGCCGCCACCCAGGCCAAGCCGCTGCACGTGGGCAACGCCACCCGCCTGGGCTTGGAGGCCGCTCTGCTGGCAGGGCGAGGGATGGAGGCCAACCCCTTGATCCTGGATGACATCCCGGGCTGCTCGGGGTTCAGCGCCTTCTACAGTGTCTACAAGCCCAAACCGCTGTCCGCGCCCGGCGAGCACCATGAGTTCCTCCTGGAAAAGCAGGACATTGCCTTCAAGCGGTTCCCGGCCCACCTGGGCATGCACTGGGTGGTGGATGCTGCCTTGTCCGTCCGGAACCTCTTCATCAACCACGCGGGGTCCTTCTCCCCGTCCCTGATCCGCACCATTATGCTGAGGATCCCGGTGTCCAAGTACATCAACCGGCCTTTCCCCAGCTCGGAGCACCAGGCGAGGCACTCCTTCCAGTTCAACGCCTGTGCTGCCCTGCTGGACGGCGAGGTGGGCCTGGGCTCCTTCTCCGAGAGCAGCATCCACCGGCAGGAGCTCAGGGAGCTGCTGGACAAGGTGGTGGTGGAGCACCCTGAAGACAACGTGGCCAACTTTGACAAGATGTACGGAGAGGTGGCCCTGCTCCTGCACAGCGGGGACGTGCTGACGGGCAAATGTGACACTTTCTATGGGCACTGGAGGAAGCCCCTGAGCAAAGAGTCGCTCCTGAAGAAGTTCCGAACCAACGCCTCCCACGTGCTTCCAGAAGAAAAAATAGAAGCCATCATCACTCTGGTGGACAACCTGGAGGACCTGTCAGACAGCTCCCAGCTGGCCTGCAGCCTGTGAGGGGACAGCATGGGGGCTTGGTGAGGGGCTTGTCCTGGCAAAGCTGCAATTCCTTTCTTCATTGGTGCTTTCCTACTGATTCCCAAGGGCAGGGAAGTTCCCACCCCTTCCAGTAGATAATTCCAAAAGAACCCACAAGGCAGGAGGAGTGTGTGTGGGTTAACACACAGAATAAACTTCAACTCCTGTTTGGTGCTGGTTGAGGAGCTGAAAATTCACCACAAGTATAAAAAAACTCCCATGGAAATCTCTGAGAATCCTGGGGTATCATCCAGTTCTCCAGAAGGAACAGTGTCTGTGCATTTTTTACAGCTGGATTCTGAGCTTATTCTGTTCAGAATGCCTGACTGCTGAGTCTGGGAAGAAGAGGAGGCCCAGCTGCAGAGCCTGTGCTTTTCTTAGTGCTCCTCTGGGCACTTTTGGGATCAGGGTCAGGCAATCCCACTGGCCACAGGAGAAATCCATCCTTGCTTCAAACAGCCCTGCCCTCAGAACTCTCCAGCTGAGAGGGATTCTTTTCCTTCCCAGTGAAAACCTCCTGTTTCTCCAACCCATGGGCAGTGTTTTCCACTTCTCTGTGTGCAAATGATGGTTTGAGGACCCTTGAGACCTGGATGTCTTTCCTGAAGGTGAGACAGTGGTTAAATTAGGAATCCTACATCAGTTCTACACGCTGAGGGTGATCCTTGCCCATCCCAGCTGGGCTGTCCCACCCCTCCTGGCTTTCCTGGGCTTTCCCAGGCACCTGTTCTGAGCTGGCTCACGGGTTTCTCTGGGAGGTGACTTGGGCACATACACTGTGACTCCCATTGAGAAACTCCTGTTTCCCTCCTGTGAGAGGAGGGGAAGCTCATTGAGACTTTGCTCTTAACTCATCTTTCCATGAAAATGTTTGACATCTGGAATCTGTGCTCCTGAGCAGCCATTCCCTGGAAGGCTCCTTCCCCTGCACCCTCCCTGAGTGGTGAGATGGAGAACTCATCATTTCTCCACATTAAACACTGTGATTGCTGATCCAAAGAGCTCCTTTCCAATATGATCATGATAAAATTGTGGAATCTACTGTGGGAATCAGTATTCAAGAGGGATGAGATGGGAGCAGACAAGAAGGAAGATCCTTTTTCTTGCTGGTCATGGTTTGTGCAGGGAATGAACCATCCAGAAGAAAACTGTTTTCCCACCTCTGTTCATCCACTCTCTCCCACTGTCCAATATTCACAATGAATCTTGCTGAATAAAGAACGGAATTAAATTAATTTTCTCCATAAAAATTTAATGCTGTGTTATGTAAACCACCCATTTTAATTGGAATACTGACAATACAGAGGCTCTTCCAATAGATGGGGAGCCCAGCAGAGGTTGGGACAGGGACAAATGCAATGCTGGCCTGTGGCCAGTGGTTCCTCCAGGTGAAAACATTGAGCCCCATGGGTTCTTTCTCCCAGAGACAACAACAACCATCAGCCAGCAAAGCCTCCTGTGCTCCAACACCATCACTCCAAGAGAAGTCCCTCCATCATCCACACATTCCAAATACTTGCTAAATTTGCATGACAAATTTTGAGTTTCCTGTGGTTTGGGTCAAGTGTGAGATCCCCAAAAGTGTAATTCCATGTTTCACCCTGTGGTGAACAGGAAAGCCACGGAGCCAGGCGAGTTCTCCAGGCCAGCCAGCATTTAAAGGGATCAAGGTGTGGGACAGAAGCAAGATCGGCTCCAGTGGAGGGAACGAAAGCCTCTCCCATGGGCTGTGACCCTCTCCCGTGGGCTTTCACCCTCTCCCGTGGGCCTTGACCCTCTCCTGTGGGAACCAACCCTGTTCCATGGGGATTAACCCCTTCCCATGGCTTTGACCCTCTCCTGTGGAGATGAACCCTCTCCCGTGGGCTTTGACCTCTCCTGTAGGGACTGACCTTCTTCCGTGGGAACCAATCCTGTTCCATGGGGATTAACCCTGGCCCATGGGCTGTGACCCCCTCCCGTGGGTACCGACCCTCTCCCGAGGGCAGGAGCCCCCGAGGGTCCCGCCGTAGCCGGGCACGGCCGGGGCACATCAGCACCCTGGAGAGCAGCCGGAGGCTCCGCGGGGCCAGGGGACTCCGCTCCCAGGGATCCCTCCCTCGGATCCCTTCCCGGATCTCCACTCGAGGAGATGCCCGTGGCTTTCTCCCATGGCATTCCTGTCTTTAGTTCCCACAAAGGACTCAATGGAAACCAGCTCATCCCCGCCCATCATCCAAAGCACTGAATATTTTGTGACCTTGCCTTTATTAGCACCATGAAGATTTTTGGATTTCCCACGAAATTCCAGCAAAGAAAAAATGAGTACAGTTCAGAGATTGTTTCAATTTTATAGAGGATTTGCACTGTAGAGGTCAGAAGAGTCCTCCCTCCTTTCCAGCGCTGTTCCCGTGGGGATATCGATGCTACCTCAGTGTGGCCAGCCTCGGAACTGCTCTGCTTGAGAATCCCCAGGTCCTTCATTGTTTTATACTTTTTAGATAACTTTGAAATGGATTTTTAAATAACTAAAGGAGAAGAAAAGTCAGGACAGTCCCACAAGTAACCAGGTGCCATCAGAGTCAGACTCCTCTGTGCCAGACCATCCTCAATCCCTCCATAAATCCAGGTGAACTCCTGGACGTCTGACACTGCCCTTCATGTAGGCTCCTCATCCCTGCTTTTTCCATTCATGAGTTACAGAAACCCCACAATTATTGATACAGAGCTGAGGATGAAACTTGGAGCTTCAGTTTCAGGAGTGTTTGAGTGTCACACTGAGGCTAAATGCCCAAACCCCAGGAGAGGAATGTGTTTGGACAGCCACAGCTGGATTTAAACCTCTGGCGTGGTAGGAGAGCCACCAGCACCAGGCAGCTTGATGATGAGAGGATGATGAGAGGATGATGAGAGGAAGGGAGACATAAATTTCCAACTGTGGAAAAGTGACTCTGGAGAGGAGAGGAGTGACAGGTGGACAGTGTAGCAAAAGGGATAGCAGGAATTAGGGAAGGTGTCCCAGCAATTGCAATGCAGCAGCAGCAGGACAGATCTTCCCAGCAGGCCATGAAATCTCCATGATGCAGATGTATAAAAGCAGGATTCACACCCAGAGCAGAGCAGAGCAGAGCAGGCTGCCTTGGGAAAACTCCCAAAGTAGGTCCTCACAGCCCTATTTTGTGGCTATGATTTGAGGTGTGTCCCAGGTTTACACAATTAAAGCTTGGACATTCAAATGGGCCAGCCAAACCTGGCCTCTGCACCCCATGTCCTGCTGGGACCCAGGCAGAGCATGGGCTGTGGTCAGGGCTGCCCCTCCGTGCCTGCAGCCTCATCCGTGCAGTACCTGGAAACCTCAACCAGGTTCTCGTCGGGGTCTCGGAAGTAGATGGAGGTTATTGGACCCACAGCACCAGTTCTGGCCACAGGACCTTCTTCAATGGCCACCCCACAGGCCTGGAGGACACAGGAGAGCAGGGCTTTGATGGTCCTGCCATCACTGTGCCCTCCTCCCCCAGCTTCGACAACATGAACTGTTGGATGAGACAACCCCGACATTCCCCAGGAAAGTGTCACTTAGAGGCCCTGGATTTGTGTCTGCTGGGGTGACACTGCCCTGGAGACACTCTGGGCCTGCCTCACCTTCAGGTGCTCCAGCAGCTGCTCCAGGGGCACTGCTGCGATCAGGCAAAAATCCGCAGAGCCGGGCGCGGGGCGCCGAGCCTTGGGCTCAAACTCCTGCCCAGCCTGGTGCAGGTTGAACTTCTGCTGGCCAAAGCGCAAAGCTTTGCGATTCCCCTGTTCCCAGAGGAAAAGGCCGGAGTAAGGGAGACATCCTGGGCTGGACTCCTTCAGCACCCACTGCCCCCAGCAGTCCTGGACACCCGGGGGCTGCTGGGTCCTGCTAACTCAGGTCAGGCTTACCTTGAACGTCACCACCTCCATGCCCAGGACTTTGGAATAGAAGGCCACAGTGTCCTCAATGCTCTTCACAGTCAGCACAAGGTGGTCCAGGCGCTGGATGAAACACGAGGGTGGGCTTGTGCCCTGTTCCTTCCAAGCCATGCTCTCAGGGCTGGGAACTGGCATGGAAAACCAGAGAATATGGAAGTTAGGAGCATCCAGCTATGCAGGGAAATGGAAAACAGCCCAGGGAGCTGAGGGCTGAGAGGAATCGCCCAGGTTTTCCTCTGTCCTGCAGGTGGCAGAAGTACAGAAGCAATAAATCCTCCTCCCTGCAAGAGCATCGGACCCTGGTCTGCGTCTGGTGGCACCCGAGCCTGTCAGAGCCCCTGGCCGGGTCAGGTGTGGGAACCAGCTGGGTGATGTCCCTGAGAGCTGAGGTCACCAAGATGCCAAGCTCCCAACACACAAACCCCGTGTGCACCAAGGATGGGACCATGTGTGATCCTTCCTCCAGCCCTCTCTGGTGTCCTCCCAGGTGTGGACACTCATCCAGGTGGAGCCAAGCCAGAGAAGGGAGACAAACTGGGGCCTGGCACAGCAGCAGGAAACATCTGGGGACGTTTCTTGTCATTTGTCTTTAAGCAGCCATATGTCACCACCAGGCCGAGGGTGAGGCCAGGGGCTCGGGGTGACACAGCACCGGGGTGTGAGGAGTCACCAGGCAGGGGTCACAGGTTCCTGGTGGCATAGGTTGGGCTCAGATCCTCTGGCACTGCCCCTGGCTTTTAGGGACATGGGCTAGGGTGTTGGCAGGCCAGGGGGGATGGTTGGACTCAATGATCTCAGAGAGCTTTTCCAGACTAATGGTTCCATGATTCTGCATGGGAAGTGTCTGGTGAGGAGAGACCCCACAGCCCCAGTGGCACAGGAGCAGGGTCAGTGCAAAGCCAGGTGCAGTTTCACTGGGATGTCTGCTCCCTGCAGCCAGAGGAGCCTGTGTAGAGCAAGATCCCATTAACCCCTTCCATGGCATGGCCTGGGCTGGGCCCAATGACTGCACTGCTTGTGGGGGAGCCATCAGCAGAGCCAGAGGGATCCCTGCTCCTCCCTGCTGGTGTTTGGAGTTCAACAACCTCGGAGCCACCTGGCACAACCCCTCTGCAAATCCCTTCACCCTGGGCGTCCTCTCCCCGATTGCAGCACCTTCATGTCCCAGCCTAAGACCCCACCTCCTGCCCTCCCCTCCCAGGTGAGCCCCTGAGCCAAAAACGGAAAGGAAAGGGGTTGTAAAATTCCTGTTACCTGCAGAGGGACGAAGAGCTGGGAAGGCAGCACTGGATGGTTTCCTATGACCATCCCCTTCCTGCTGGGAGCAGCCACGTCACGGGACAAAGGAGGGAATGATGAGATTGGAAATGGGAGCTCTAAACATTGCTCCCTGCAAGGTGGACCTTGACCCAAAGGGCAACTGCTTGAAAAATTGCAGAAAAACAGTCTGGATTTTTCCCTTTACAAGGGAAAGTTGGGTTTATGTGCTGGCTTAAAGCTCCCACTGAAGAAGCCAGGATATCCCTGGAGAAAAGGGGCTGTCCAAGCAGCCACAGCAGCCTCCCACCTCCCTGGCAATGCACAGGGAATCTTGCCTCCAAGATAATGTCCTAACACACAAAATAAATAAAATAATCTTTGTCCTGTGAAGCAAATATCAAGGAGTTCAAACTCTGCAGTTGTTTAGGAAGAAGTTTGTGACAGAAAATATGTGAGCCCCATGATCATCCCAAGAAACAGAGACAACATTTGAAGAATGACAATATATTGGCGAGTTGCTGTAGGAAGATTCCTACAAAAACGGGTTAAAAGCAGGCAATTCCCTGCAGGATCGGTTTGGATCTCTAGAACTGCACATTTCTCCACTCCAGTTAAGATGTGAGTAAATCTGAGCTAAAAGCAACAAATCCATTAATATTTACAGCTCTGGACTTTCATCTGCTGGATGACTTTCAGCGGAAAGCCGTGGAGCAGCGGTGCCTGTTGGGATACCTGGATGTGGGAACACCTCACACTCAGAGCGTCTCCATGTGGTTCAACCCCCTGCTTCAGCACAGGTTCACTGAAATTCGAGCACAGAAAAGGAGAAAGTCCCTGGAGAGAAGACATTTTTCCATTGTGAATGTTCTGCTGAGGACTTGCGGCAGCAGTGCTCGCTCAGGGGGAAATCTGAGGCTTGGAGTATCATTTCCTGGTGGCAAAATGGTTTCCTGGAGCAGGGAAGTTGTGGTTTGGGTCCATCAGCTCCACTTCCTCAAGAGAGATTTAGTGCAGGACCAACAAGTCAGAGGGACTTTGGGATTAAGTTCAGGGTAGGAACCCAAATATCCTACTTGGGAATGGCTTTGTGTTCAGCTCCTTGGAGGTGTGGCTGCAGACAAGGATTCCTGAGCTGCTCCCAACATCCAGAGAGGAATTTCCCTACATGTTGGACATGGTGATGGAGTTGAAATAGCTCAGCACATCCTCCATGGTGAAGTCCAGGGCAATCCCTGCTCCTGTGTAGCAGCGTTGGATGAGCTCCTCAAACTCTTGGTACTGCTGGATGAATCCCTGCTCCATGGCCTGCCACACCACCTGGAAAACCAGAACCCTGCTCCAGGGGCTGCCACACCACCTGGAAAAGCATAACCCCTGCTCTATGGGCTGCCACACCACCTGGAAAACCAGAACCCTGCTCCATGGGCTGCCCCACCACCTGGAAAAGCATAACCCCTGCTCCATGGGCTGCCACACCACCTGGAAAACCAGAACCCTGCTCCATGGGCTGCCACACCACCTGGAAAACCAGAACCCCTGCTCCATGGCTTCTCACACCACCTGGAAAACCAGAACCCTGCTCCAGGGGCTGCCACACCACCTGGAAAAGCATAACCCCTGCTCTATGGGCTGCCACACCACCTGGAACACCAGAACCCTGCTCCATGGGCTGCTACACCACCTGGAAAAGGAGAACCCTGCTCCATGGGCTGCTACAACACCTGGAAAAGAAGAACCCTGCTCCATGGGCTGCCACACCACCTGGAAAACCAGAACCCTGCTCCATGGGCTGCCACACCACCTGGAAAACCAGAACCCCGCCTCCTTGGCTTCCCACACCACCTGGAACACCAGAACCCTGCTCCATGGGCTGCTACAACACCTGGAAAAGCATAACCCCTGCTCTATGGGCTGCCACACCACCTGGAAAACCAGAACCCTGCTCCATGGGCTGCCACACCACCTGGAAAACCAGAACCCCTGCTCCATGGCTTCTCACACCACCTGGAACACCAGAACCCTGCTCCATGGGCTGCTACAACACCTGGAAAAGCATAACCCCTGCTCTATGGGCTGCCACACCACCTGGAAAACCAGAACCCTGCTCCATGGGCTGCCACACCACCTGGAAAAGCAAGCCTGAGCTCCTTCCCCTGCCCCTGCAGCCACACAGGCAGTGCTGTGTGAATCCCAACCATCCCAGTGTCACACCCATCCCACTCCAGTTACCAGCAGAAGATTTTCCTCTGGGGACAGATGTTTGTGGATTGTCCTGTAGAGGCTCTCCAGGGCCCTTTTGACTTCCTTGCCAGGATATTTTTCAATGACTTTCCGGAGTTCCTGCTTGCTGTAGGCCAGCTGGAAGCTGACCTCCTCTTCCTTCACCCCCTGAGCCAGGCGGGCTTTGACCCCCTCGAAGAAATGCTGGGAAGGGAAGGAGACATTCCATGAGGAGCCATCCTGAGGTATTCCTGCACCAGGGCTGACCCTGAGCACTGCCCTCAGTTCCCATGACTAATTCAATTGAAAAGAAAAATTTAAGGATGTTTAATGAAGTGTTGGAGATTTTTATCCTCCAGGAAAGCAGAACTTAGGGAATTTCATGGTTCTCTCCCCTCCCTGCTCAACAAGCAGCATCCCTAAGGGTTGCAGGCCCATGGAGCAATGGGACTGCTGGAAAATCCCTCCAGTTCCTTGGTGCTCCCCCTGGTTTTCTCCCCACAGAGGGTTTGGAGCCAGAGGTGGGGAAGGGAGATCCCAGAACCTGCAGAGGTGTAAAGAAAACTGGAATTTTCTCAGTTCTCCTGACATCTCTGCCAGAGCTGGACAGGACACTCACTCCACATCTGCTGTAAAACAAGGGAATAATCCCTTCCTTCATCTTCCTGTCTCTTCATACAGCCCAAGAATCTGTTTGGGTATTCTTGCTACAACTGCTGAAGTGGGACTGCACAGCCAAAGCCAGCAGTGGTCAGGAAAGGGGACACTGGACAGGACATTCCACATCTGCTGTAAAACAAGGGAATAATCCCTTCCTTCATCTTCCTGTCTCTTCGTACAGCCCAAGAATCTGTTTGGGTACTCCTGCTGCAATTTCACAGTGAAGAAATACCCTAAATCCCAAGGATTTAGAGTCCCTAAATGTACAGACTGTTTCCAAGAACCAGGAATGGCTTCCTGCACTATTCACACCCCTTTGCACCTTCTCTGGGTGTCTGTGCTCAGACTGGAAGAGCTGGAGGAGGCCATGCCAGGATTTTGGGAATCCCTGAGCACAACGAAATCCAGGTGCTCTCATATCCTGTGACAACAAAGTAACATAATGCCAGACTGGATTCAGGGCAGGGAGATTTGAACACCAGTTAATCCAGAGTTTTGGGAAGAGCCCTTGCCCTTGGAGGCCCGGGCCAGGGTCCCGTGCTCACCTTCAGCCTCTCCAGGGGCTGGCCCACGTACGTGGTGACGTATTTCTCCATGTGCTCCCTGGACCTTTGCTTGGCTTCTCTCTTCTTGCCCTCCAGGCAGGGGATGTTCCTTTGGCACAGGAAGTTGTGGATGTGGTGGAAATTTTCCATCATCACCATATCCGTGTTCACTTTCAGGTTTGCTGAGGAGAGGCTGTTGACTGGAAAGGAAGGAGGGACTCAGGTGAGGAGGGAAGCCCCTGCAGGCTCTCAGGAGGGATGTGCCTTTGGGACGGCTCATTTGAACCGTCTGACTTCAGAGGGAGTAACTATAACACAAATCCTGATCCCTGTCCACGATTCCCTGCCTGACCTCATTCCCTGCAAACATTCCTGGAGCTGGCAGGGCCGTGTCCATGGATTTATCAGTGGGTCACCCCAGGCTCACCTGCAGGTGGGAGCTGCCCCTCTGCACCACCTTGTGATCTGTGGTCAGAGCTGGGAATTCTGCAGCCCCTCAGGTCCTCGCCAGGCAGGAAAACAGGATATTTTCACTGACAGGAAGCTGAGGGCTCCAGCTGGGACAACACAGGGATCTACTGGAAGCTCCCCACCCCGCTCTCCCAACCCCTCTCTCCCTACCAACACCTCTTGGTGGTTTTGGGGGAGTTTTTCTGGCTCCCAAGACCTTGTAAGAGGAGTCTGATCTGTGAGGAACTCCCCCTCCACAGTGAGGCAGGAGATGTTGGAACTGGATCCAAAGCTGAGCCTTTGTGTGTAAGCTGAGCCCTGTCACCCCCAGGCCAATCCCTCTTTGACAGAGCACCCAGAATTTGCCTGGTGCTCCCAGGACCTTGCTCAGGGAAAGGGGCTTCAGGAGCAGGCAGTGCTCAGGAGACAGGCAGCTCCCACCCTGCCACACCTGGAATGTGCCCGGTGCTCCCAGGATCTCACTCAGGCAGAGATTTCAGTGTCCAGGGACAGGCAGCTCACCCTGCCCTGGTCACTCCTGCAGCTGCAGGGGGACATTTCCTGACCAGAGCACCCAGCCTTGGCACTCACTGCTGCTGAAGACGCTGCTGGCCAGCCTGAGCTGGGCCTTGTCCAGCTCCCCCCGGCGCTGGGATGTCTGGAACACCTCCTCAGAGAGCGCCACAAACTCCTGGAAGCGGCTGACACAGGGCAGGATCCCCCCTCTCGTCCTGCTGGCAGTCTTGGCCTCCTCCATCTCCTTGCACAAGGTCCCCTGAGAATGACACAGAGAGGTGGCACCCTCAGGTCCGACCTCATCTGGTGGAGCACAGGGCAGGACAGAAGGCAAGGAGCTGGGTTTGGGAAGGCTTCTGCCATTTCCAATGCCTTCTGTAACCCCAAGGAATGTGATACCCGTGTTTGAGGCTGACAGGGAGCTGTGCCATTGGCAGGGGCTGCCCAGGGAGCTTTGGGGTCCCCATCCCTGGAACACCTGGGTGTGGCACTCAGAGCTCTGGGCTGGGGACAAACTGGGGGCTGGGCTTGGACTCGGTGATTGTGGAGGTCTTCTCCAGCCTCCATGGTTCGGGGATTCCATTTGGGAGGTTCTGGAAGAGGTCAAACATCACTC